TCTCACGGTCTCTCCTGCCCGGGCTGGCTTTGAACCGCGATCCTCAGATCTCAGCCTCCTGAGTAGCTAGGATTACAGGCATGAGCCACCAGTGCCCGGTTCAGTATATATTTCTATAAGTAACCTTTTCTTTTTTAAAACATAACTTCATACCACATTTTTTTTTTTTTTGAAGGTCGTAGGGCCTGAACTCTGGGCCTGAGCATTATCCCTCAGCACTTCAGCTCAAGGCTATATCACTCTACCGTTTGAGCCACAGTACCACTTCCGGCTTTTTCTGCTTACGTGGTACTGAGGAATTGAACCCAGGGCCTCATGCATGCTAGGCAAGCATTCTACCACTGAGCCACCTCCCCAGCCTGAGTACCACAATTTTATCTAGTAGAAAGTTGGGAATACATAGTTCCTTGGTTATTAGGAGCAATCTAGTCAGTTTTCAAGTGTGTGTATATAATTTCCTGGGGCAGTTCAACTGATCACTGTAATGACTTTGCCAATTTATCTAATTTCACAGAGAATGTATACTTGTAAAATGAGAATGATAATGATTGCATCAGTTTGTAACTATTAAGCATTTAAAATACAGTGTTTACGGAAGTGGTGCTGTGGTAGAGTGTTTGCCTTGAGCTGAAGAGTGCAGGGACAGTGCCCAAGCCCAGAGTTCAAGCCCTACAACTGACCCAAAAAAAATAAATAAAATACAGTGTTTAATGTTGGTCTTTAAAATACAGTGTTCAGGGGCTGGGAAGTTGACTCAGTGGTAAAGTGCTTGCCTTGCATGCCTGAGACCCTGGGTTCGATTCCTCAGCACCACATAAACAAAAAAGAAAAAACGCGGAAGTGGCGCTGTGGCTAAAGTGGTAGAGAGCGCTAGCCTTGAGCTGAAGAGCTGAGGGACAGTGTCCAGGTCCAGAGTTCAGGCCCCACGACCGGACCCCAAAAAAAAAAATACAGTGTTCAATATTTGTTTTTTTGAATCATTTATAATTTCATCTAGGTTAAGTTATGAATGTTGTTTATGAGCCATATTTTGACAAGGGATATATATGACTATTTTGAAATAATTTTTAGCTCATGTAGAGGTTAAGTCTTTCACTTAGCTTTTAGATTCTCCTAATGATTACATCTTGAGAACTCTAGAAAAAAAATAGTTTATTTGAACAAAGAGCCAAAATAGGCTCACATTTTATGATTGAGTGATATGTATTTTAAATCTCTTCCTTGCTTTGGCTGGCTCTTGTTGCTCTCTACCTCTGTGCTGGGGATTGAACCCAGGGCCTCACAGGAGCTAATTATACCCTCCCAAAATTTGAATTGGTTTTTTTTTTTTTTTTGGGTCCGGTTGTGGGCCTGAACTCTGGGCCTGGGCACTGTCCCTCAGCTCTTCAGCTCACAGCGAGCGCTCTACCACTTGAGCCACAGCACCACTTCCGGCTTTTTTCCTTTTTGCTTATGTGGTGCTGGGGAATCGAACCCAGAGCCTCATGCATGCAAGGCAAGCACTCTACCACTGAGCCACCTTCCCAGCCCTGAATTAAGTGTTAAAAAGAAAATTCTGGTACTGAGACTTGAACTCAGGGTCTTGCCCTCACTTGGATTTTTTTGTTCAAAGCAGACACTGTACCAGCTGAGCTCCACTTGTATTTCAGCTTTTTGCTAGTTATTTGGAGATAAAAATTTCTAATTTGTCTGCTGCTTTGAACCTTGATCCTCAGATGTTAGCCTCCCAAGTAGGTAGAATTATATATTGTAAGTTATAAACACCCAGCTTTTATCATATGTGTTTTTGTTTGTTTGTTTTTTTGTCAGTGCTGGGGCTTGAACTCTGGGTATGGACACTGTTCCTGAGCTTCTTTTGCTCAAGGCTAGCGTTCTACACTTGAGCCACAGTGCCACTTCTGGTTTTTTCTGTGTATGTGATACTGAGGAATCAAACCCAGGGCTTCATGCTTGCTAGGCAAGCACTCTACCACTGCGCAACCTTCCCAACCCTAAAACATGTTTTAAATGTGTATAAAAGTATTAAGTTTTAGTTATTTTTTAAATTGATGTGCACAAGACTTTACTAAGTAATACTATTTGCCTGCCTGCAAGATGAAGAACTCTTTTTCCTGATGTCATTTTGTTCTCTGTGGTTGTGTAGTGACAAAAATGCTGAGCTTCCTGCGTAGAACTCTTGGGCGCAGGTCTATGCGTAAACATGCTGAGAAGGAACGGCTCCGAGAGGCACAAAGAGCAGCCACACACATTCCTGCAGCTGGAGATTCAAAGTCCATCATCACCTGCCGGGTGTCCCTTCTGGATGGTACAGATGTTAGTGTGGACTTGCCGGTACGTAAACGTAAGCCTTACTGAGCTGTAAATTCTACATGATTTTATTTTATTTTACTTTTGCTGTGTTGAGTTTGAACTCAGGGCTTAGGTTTGCTTGGCTGGCACTCTATCACTTGCCTTGCTTCCAGCTAAATTACTGTTTTGATTTGCACTTTCAACTGATGATAACTTCCAGAGAGATTTAGATAATGTGAGTAGTATGGGTCAGGACTGTAACATTCTGATACATGGATCATGTTGTAAACTTAGAGAACAAATGATAGTATTTCTCTCTGAAATTAATGATAGTTACTTAACATTTAAGTGATAGGGCAGAGAGAAAGACAGATAAGGACAAAGTGCCAGAACCTTGCTATGTAACCCAGATTGGTTTTGACCTTGCCTAGCTTTTGCTAGGATCCTAGCCTTGCTAGGATTACAGAAAATAAGTCATTACACCCAGTTTCTGTGTGTGTGTGTATGTGTGTTTAATGATGGTAGTTTATTCTATAATCTAGTAGATTTCTTTTTTGTTTTTCCTTTTTTATGTCAGTTCTGGGGCTTGAACTCAGGACCTAGGCACTGTCCCTGAGCTTTTTTTGCTCAAGGCTAGTACTCTACCACTTGCCACAGTGTCACTTTTGGCCTTTTCTGTTTATGTGATACTGAGGAATCAAACCCAGGGCTTCATGCATGTTAGGCAAGCACTGTACCACTAAGCCACATTACCAGTGCCATCTAGTAGACTTTTTAAAATCTTTATTGAACAATTATTATTTTTAAATATAATTTATTGTTATTTATTAAGGAATAATAGAGAGGGGTGACAACTCCATAAGTCAGGTAATAAGTACAATTTTTATTGGACAGTGTCACCCCCCTCCTATCCATGCCAACAAGTTGCATAGTTCATTTTCCACATGGTGTATATTAAATACCATGACTGCATCGATTCACCCTTTCTCCCTCCATTTCTGTGCCTCCCCTCAAAAGACAACAAAAACAACACCAACAATAATAACAAAGACTTGTTTCCATTTCTTGGAATTCTTTTTTTTCTAATTTGTAATTATTTTATTTTATTTTATTTTATTTGTCAGTTGTGGGGCCTGAACTTAGGGCCTGGCTGCTTCCCTCAGCTCTTCAGCTCAAGGCTAGTGCTCTACCAATTGAGCCAAAAGGCCACTTTTGGCTTTTTCTGCTTATGTATTGCTAAGGAATGGAACCCAGGGCCTCATGCATACAAGGCAAGAACTCTACCACTGAGCCACCTTCCCAGCACCTTTATTTTATTTTAATTCATTTAATTCACTTTTTTTTGGGGGGGGTTGGTTATGGGCTTGAACTCTGGGCCTGAGCACTGTCCCTGAGCTCTTCAGCTCAAGGCGAGCACTCTATCACTTGAGCCACAGCACCATTTCTGGTTTTCTGGTGGTTAATTGGAGATAAGAGTCTCATGGACTTTCCTACCTGTGCTGGCTTTGAATTGTGATCCTCAGAGCTCAGCCTCCTGAGTAGCTGGGATTATAAGTGTGAGCCACTGACACTTGGCCAATTCATTTAATTTTTAAACTATCTTCAAGTAGATGTAAGAAGTTGCCATTTAACAAAGTTTCTGGAATTCATTTTGATAGTGTTTTAGATGTTTCATGTTTGGTTTCATGATTCATGTTTGTTTTCCTCCCCTAAGAGTATTCTCATTTAGGTTGTTTGTTTTTGTGTAAATGCATAGAACCCTGTATAGGTTATCATGTCTAGTTGTATTTTAGATCTAGCTTCCACTTATGAGAACAAACATGTCATCTCTCTAAGCTTACCTCAGTTAAAATGATTTGTCCTTGGTCCATCTGTTTCCCTACAAACAACATTAGTCTTTATAATGGATGAGTAAAATTCCATATTGTATATGTGCCATATTTTTATGGTCCACTGATCCTTTGTAGGGCATCTGGGCTGTTTCCATAACTTGGCTATTGTGAATAGTGGGCAATGAACGTGGATGTCCGAGTGTCTTTATGGTATCCTGACTTTTAGTGTTCTGAGTAAATGCCCAATGTTTTATGTTTTGCTTTTTGTGGAAACTCTAACCTGCCATTCAAAGTGGTTGTACTAGTTTACATTCCTACCAACAGTGTACTAGGGTTCCTTTTTGCTCACGTCCCCATCAGCATGCCCTATAAGACTTTGTTCTTTGTACTTTACTGTATTTGTCAAAACTGTTTTCCTTAGAAAGTTTGGAGTGCTTGAAGGAAGTTTAAGTTTAGTGAAAAAAATACTTTGCTCATGCCACTCATATATGACTGCCTGTCTTGGCTCTCAAAGCCATTTGTGTTACAGTTTTCTTCATAACAATGTAGTTATTTCAAGACAGGACATTCTAATTTTGTTTGCATTTGGGGTAGTTTTAACTTTTTTTCAGCTACTAATGCATAATTGTAACTCATAATATGAAACAGTCCAATATGCTTGGAAGGACTGAACCTGCTCCTTATAGGCCTTTTCAGGGGTCTTGGGGAATGGGACTGTGTGTATTATAGTCTATGCTGGCCTCAAACTTAAGCATTACTAACCATTATTCTGTCTCATCCTCCCAGATGCCAGCATTACAGGCATTCACTACCATACCCTTGAGTATTTACTAATACCAAATCTCTTGTGTATTTGTTCTGTATCCACACTTACTGTAAGTTATGTAATTACTTAAGCTTCATTGAATGTTCATTGATATTTTCCCTTTCCACAAATTCTTTTTCTTTTTTTTTTTTTTGGGTGGGGGTCCGGTCCTGGGGCCTGAACTCTGGGTCTGGGCGCTGTCCCTCAGCTCTTCAGCTCAAGGCTAGCTATACCACTTGAGCCACAGCGCCACTTCCTGCTTTTTTCTTTTTTCTTATGTGGTGCTGAGGAATCGAACCCAGGGTCTCAGGCATGCAAGGCAAGCCCTCTACCACTGATCCACCTTCCTAGCCCTCCACAAATTCTTTTAGTACCCATTTAACTGAAATTGAATTTAAAAAGTCTCTTTGGCTGGGTGCTGGTGGCTTATGCTTGTATAATCCTAGCTACTCAGGAGGCTGAGATCTGAGGATCTCGGTTCAAAGCTGTCTCTGGCAGGAAAGTCTATAAAACTCTTATCTCCAATTAACCACCAGAAAACTGAAAGTGGGCTGTGGCTCAAATGGTAGAGCCCTCGCCTTGAGCTGAAGAGTACAAGGAGAACACCCAGGCCGAGAATTCAAGCCACTTACCTACCCCGCTCCCTGCTCCCCCCACCCAACATGGGGGTGGGGGAGTGGGGGGGAGAGGAAGGAGTCTCTTTGGGCAAGATGAAAGTCTCTCTGACTTTTCTGTCCCAGCTGACTTTGAACCTTGATCCTCTAGGTTTCAACTTCCTGAGTAGCTAGGATTATAGGAGTAAGCCACTTTTTTTTTTTTCCTCCAGTCTCAGGGCTGTCCCTGAACCTCTATGCTCAAGCCTAATGCTCTGCCAGTTTGAGCCACAGCCTTTTCTGGCTTTTTCTGAGTAGTTTATTGGAGATAAGCGTCTCATGGGCTTTCCTGCCTAGTCTGGTTTCAAACTGTGATCAGCCTTCTTAGTAGCTAGGATTACAGTTGTGAACCACCAGTGTCCAGTGCTTTTTTTTTTTTTTTTTTTCTAGTCTTAGGGCTTGAACTCAGAGCCTGGGCATTGTCCCAGAGCTTCATTTGCTCAAGGCTAGCACATTCTACCACTTGAGCCACAGTGCCACTTCCAGCTTTTTCTGTTTATGTGGTACTGAGGAATCGAACCCAGGGCTTCATACATGCTAAGCAAGCACTCTACCACTAGGCCACATTCTCAGCCATTTTTTTTTTTAAAGACAGGGTTTTGCTATGTAGCCCAGGCTGGCCTACAATTTGTGATTCTCTACTCTTCTTCCTGAGTTCTTGGATTATAGACCTGTTTTTCTATGGCTGGCTTATTTTTATAAAACTTGAAGCATCTAAATGTCTTCCTGTACTGTAAGAACTTCTTGAAGGTTTGTGAAACATTCTAACATGAGCTACTTTGTGTTGACAATTTTCTGTTTTCTTATTTGATGAGAATCTTAAGGGTTTTGTGTACTAGTCCACTAAAATAGCATTAGGTATTTGGTGAAAAGTCTGATACTGATGTATAAGAGCATGGAAAAAAATTTTCTTATTACCTAATGTGTAAAGTATGAGGTCTCTGGGTTGTTGATAGGCTGATAGAGAATTTATAAAGACGCTTTTGGAAAAGGGAGTGTAGTATGGAGTTAAAAATCAGCATTGTGCTTTAACTGGTAGAATAAATGTCTGGTAACTAGTCTATAATGTTTTCTTTGTATGCTCAGTAGATTGTTGTTGATATTGATCAAGTCTAGAAGTACTAGCTGACCTGTTCTGGGGACCACTACAGAGAAACACAGCTAGAGTTTCAGATTTGACTTTCCACAACAAAAACAATTGTCCTTTTTATCTTGCAGGTGACCAAACCTTAACCGTTAGTAACCTAACTCTAGATACTTGCACAAATATGAAATGGACATCAGCCTGCCAATTAAACTGCCTTACTAAAGGGAAATATAGGCCAAAGAAATACTAAAGTCTTAAACAAGCAAGCAAAGCAACAAAAGTTTTCCCTTTTCCCAATTTAGTCTTGCATGGTTCTGGAATATTTAAAATTGTTTTGAAAATCACATGAAGCACATGCTCATTTTCCATTAGGATTAGGGTCACTAGAGATTATAGCTAGTTAACATAGATCTAAGATGATTGCCCAGATAATATGTAAGAGATTATTTTAGATTAAATGGAGTAATATATGGATTTGATATTAATGTATCAGTTGTAAAGACCATTTTCTTTTTTATTTCTCTCTTGAATGGGGAAGTAGCTTAAAGACTTACTACTCGTTCTCTCAATTACATATGGTAAGGATAACTTTCAGTGAACAGCAAAGTCATCATTACTTTCCTTTAGGATGATGGTTTAATAGTTAGGCTAGTGTTTATTTTACA